AGGATACAGCCACTAACAAGCTCAGTTACTAATTTAAACTTCCAAAACATAAAATGACATTTATTTACAATACACACATTAATCAAAGTTTTCAGCGAGTTCAATTGCAAACGGGCTAGTCCCAGAAACGACAAGGTCCAGCCGTAGGGAAGAGTTCTTTATTTGTCTAAGCCAGATGGCGTTAAACACTCAATTCTGGAACATGTCATAATACATATATAGGTGTCTTAGAATCTAACATTTAAAGTCAACTAAATCTTTAAAGAACATATTACATATAAACATTACATAAATACACATATGGCAAGTGACAGCTATTACAATTATGGAAAATAGCACTATAGATAAGACTACCAACATACACATGATTACCAGCTATGGGCTGAATCAAATGGCTGGTGCTTCAACAGAACGCCGTCAATAGTGTGTATCTAAACACGGCATCAAAACTATCCATGATATGCCAAATACTAGTAATAAATACATCATAAGTGCAATAAAAAATACTTTCAAAGCAATGGTTTTACACAAATACATCACCAAGATGTTGTTGCATCTTATCTGAACATTACATATACTTCTTTAAAATACCATTAACCAAATGAAATATGTTTGTACTGTTTAACCTTAATAAAATACATTATAATGCATAAAACTAACCTTCAATTTCTTCAAGACAAAACCAGTGTGTTCCTTGTGAAGTTCATGAAAAGCATGAGCAGCAACTTGCAGCCAGTGAGAAGTTGTGAGGCTTCTTCATCAACTTTAAGCCGATCAGCACAGTTGGTAGGAAATATGAACTGTGACCTATCCTTACACAAGTGGCGAGGCTCCAAATGAGTGGTACCGAGGGTCCCTACCTCATTATGAAATTAGCAATATTTTATAGCTTATATTTGAAACCTAGCACCAAACAATACCAAAATATACAATATTTTCCTCCCTGTTACACACATTCTTTGAAAAATTCAGGAATTAAATGATTAAATATTTCAATGATAATTAACATAATATAAAGATCCTTAATTGTTTTTGCACTGAAATATTTATCCCTTGTGATGGAATTATATATACAGTCAAGCAGGACATGCTTGACCGTGATTCTTTCATCACAAGGGATACATAAAGGAGGATCTTCACCTTTTAACAGGTATCCATGAGTGTATCTATATAGTCCGTTTGATTTCATTTGAGACCGATGAATTGCTCACGAACACAAAATGTAATCATTGCAACAAAACCTAATTTTGCACAGGCACATTAAAACGACAGACCAACTCTGATGATTTGTCTCATCTCATAATTTTGGACACCCGAATAAAGTTGTTTAACAAACGATCATTATTTTGTTGTCACATTTCGCTACTTTTTACGAAGGGGGACCACTTGCTGGTAGAACAGCAAAGTGGGCGAGCTGCACGTGTGAAATTGAAGTTTCACTACACACACTTGTTGATTACCCGGCTGTCTTACCAGCAATTGGCCCCCTAGTAAAACGTAGCAGTAAATAAAATCAAACGGACTATACATAATACGGCATCGTCGCATGACCTCTTCCAAACTGGACTGACAACCCAAGTAGGTGTATAGGGTTTTATAGCATGTAATTCATTGATATCAACTTGAGTGTCCCACTTCTTCTGCATCAGATCACGGATGTACGATCTAATGGTAGCTTCGTAATAAGAGTATGGAAAAAGAAGTCGTGTCACAGATTTGTTGAGTGCTGCCTTAGCACCAAAGTCGACCATTGTGTTACCAAATATTCCAACATGGCTGAGTAACCAACAGAGGACGATGTCGTATTGGCCAGTAGCAAGCTCATTATATAATTCAATTATTTCGATTAAAAGTGGATCTTTACACGTGCTATGGCTTGGTTATCATTCAGTTGGGAATTGTTCAATGTGTCCTGGTTTGCAGACAGAGCTTTTGATAATGGAAAGGGTTTTGTTGCTATAATTAATTATCACTTTTAGTGTGTTCTATGGTACACAATGACGTTTTCGTACTGACATTAGTCTTCCAGTGCATAGTGTAATGGTATTAAATATAGATATAACTTCTCTAAGGTGAGACGCAATAGGTCCTTGCCCTTAAGAATAACAACCCCTCCTTCCCCCCCCCCCCTCCTCCGCAACGCAAATACGTTTGGATATAATATCCCTTTTCTGCAGAATAACTTGTGTCCATTGATTACGGTGACATTAAGTCCCCCGCTCCCCCAACCTTGGCGACGTCAGATTACAACTACATTAAAGGAATTAAGAACTGTTTCTTTGTGTTTGCAAATGATCATGATCCATGTGTGGTGTCCTTGGAGGGGATTACGCTGAACACTAATTAGTCTCCTCTTTTGCACTAATGTAGAATGCACGTAAAATTCATCTTTTCCCGAATGATGAATCACATTAATTGTTTGTGGTCAAGTGAAGTCTTTCAGTACATTAAAATATTGTGTATAATACAATATGTATGTATTTGAACGGTGGTCAGAATCACCATTTGAAAGAAGGAAATTCCTTTGATGTGAGGAACCACATTTGTAATATCAGTGACCCTTTCTCCAGTATAACGACTCCAACAGCACCACTCACAACCAACCCATGACACGTTTTATGGTCCAGGATATCTCGAGAAAAAATATGCTTGTGATAAAGCATTTTGCTCCGTCAGCATGGCAACGCTATATCTTCATCAAAGTGGTAGGCGGTTGGTTAGATTAGTGTGTATAGGGCTCACTTGTATTGCTGCCAAGATACCCTGGCATCCACCTAAGTACAATGTCATGATACAGCTGAAATTTGCGTAACGTGTCGTGAACTCATCCACCAAACATGCGAAGACCTGTGAAGGTCTCTTTCCCCCATCCAAACATGCTTGTATCTGAATGAGGTCGTTATGCCAAACCAAATATGAGATAAAAACTATCGAATGTCTTTGAGTTTATACCGATATTATAGCGTTACAGATGATAAGCATTCATAAGGCCCCTGTGCAACACTGTCTTAGGTCAGGTGCTAGGAGGCATTTCTCGATGGGATACTTCCTGCGATGAAGTATCAGATCTCATAGAGACTTCTTCATGACACTCAGACTTTCTTTGCTGCCTTTGTTTACATCTCCGTTTATGAATTATTTCACAAACAAGGATTAAGAGTGATATGGCCACACCCACCCCTGCATAATAGAAGACACTCTTCAAGGTTAACAGGTCGACTCTCTTTGCTTTTCTGCTTGGAGCTGGACACTGATGTTTGGGTTTCCATCGATCCCACCACAGACGCAGGAGGCCGCTTTCGTATATTCGAAATATTCTGAAACATCGGATAGAAAGTTTACACCTCAAGAAAGGTACACTCCTCTCCTCTACACGAAAGTAGCAACGTTGAGTTTAATTTATGATCGAAACAGTAAAATGATATCCATGCAAAGAACAGAGGCCACAGAAAGTATTCAGGTGGGACACTTGCTGGTAGCATGGTCCATTGAGCACATTTAGTCATCTTGACTACATGTTATGGATATGATTTTATTATCATAATGATGTACCCTCACCAAGAAAGAAATGATAATTGAACAAAGTAAAAGTAAAGAAAATACTTCACTCACTGTTTGGAGAAGAGTTGTGTGTATATACTGTGTTTAGGTAGGCCAACTGCGTGTTTGCTGAAAAAGAAGCTGTCTCGTAATTTCTGTAGATCACACCGTCGTGGGTCGTCCCACATCTCAAAAGTAGACTCTTCTGCAATGTAGACGTACTGGCTCTCGACAGCTCGGCGCATGTGCTCGTCTCCATCCAGACTCAACCAATCAGGCTCGTTTGTCATCATCTCCTCCACACCGTGCCATGCCTTGTGATACACGGTGATGTTTGATTCCTGAAAACATGTCATTGGTGCTGTATATAACATATAACAAAGGCATAATTAAACATTTCAAGAATGTGGTGGACTGAACATCAACTAGCACCATAACACCTGCACACCAACATACACTTTCCAGGTCAGAGAGGTTCCTGGATAGCGTGTGCTTACATGTGTCAAGAGGAGCCACATTGTTGTCTAAACATTGTGCTGCCTGCTCCCGGCTGTCTGGAAACAAACGACTTATGACCAGACAATCCAGTGATTGGCATCATGCGATAAGGTGACAGAACGTATGTTTATGAATCACTACGAAATTGTGATGATACCAGGTGTTCTCTAAACAGGTGGCCGCCATCATAAACACACGCAAATGCTAGTCAATAGTCCAGCTGAAAAAAGGGGGAACGCATGCGAGTCAGAATGGTGAATTGCATCGGACATCATTTTTGTCACTGGTGCATCAACTTCTGTATCAGTGACAGAAGTTATGTCCGATGCAATCAACAATTTGACTTGCACAAGACGTTCCTGAATGAATTTGCATATGTTTATGACGGGGGACCCCGGATATGCTCACCTTTCCGCGAACACCTAGTTGGTTGGTTGATTGGTTGGTTTAATGCCGCACTAAGCAATACTAGAGGTATATGGCAGCGGTCTGTGAATAATCGAGTCTGGACCAGACAATCATGTGATCAACAGCATGAGTATCGATCTACGCAATTTGGATACGATGACATATGTCAATCAAGCCAGTGTGTCTGACAACCCGATCCCGTTTGTCGCCTTTTACGACAACGGTTACTGAAGACTATTCTAACCTGAATTCGCGAACACCTGGTATCATCACTATTCAATAGCGATTCATGAACACGTGCTGTCATCGTATTGCATAATGTCAATCACTGGATTGTCTGGTCAAGAGGCGTTTGTTTACAGACCGCGTCGTACCGCTGTACCTTTACTGCTTGCTGTCCATGACAGTGATATTTGCAAGTTGCATGAACCCAGAGGACAATCTGAGTCTGCACTAATGGGACACATTAATTCACGAGAGGCAGCAATGGAACAAGGGCAGAATCATGCTTCAGAATCTGCGATAAACCCAGTCAACCCATATCGCAAACATACTGACCTGGAAGAGAGTGACCAGTAATGTCCCTCCCACAAACCCCCACTTGTACGTTTCCTGCTGCACCATCTCAGCCAGGTTGGAGAAGGGGGGTATCTCTCGTCTGTCGGCAAGGAACGCAACAAGATTTCCTCTGTAGGTGGAGGCCAGTATCACTGCGAAAAGCCACCAGCAGGCGAGCACTGTACGTCCGGACCCAGTTCTGGGAATATATGCGCCCCCTGCATAATAGTGGAAGATGTACTGAACAATCAACGTTGTAGACGCTAGTATATATAATATACTGTATATTACGTAAAGACTCCGATGAATATATTGAGTAAAGATCCTCTCTCAATATCAGTCACATATTGGGATGTACCAAAGAACCTAGGCAGTGAGAACATGGGGAGTCAGGCAACTTGGATTTTGGGATGTCAGTATTACATTTCGTATGCGAGGTTTGCATGTTGATTGCATTGCAAAGGCAATCGCAAATGATTGCTTCGAATTTAACAATTGTTGATGTCGGTACGTATATGCATATGGACCTATTCCCCCAAATCTTATAATTATCCTGACGATGTACATGTTCTGCGTTGTGTTATGGATGGGCCACAAACATTCCAAAGGCAGTAATAAAAGGATCTACTCTGACTTCATTGACAGCTGAAGATCCGGGGTATAATTGATCTTCAGCAAGCCATACTTGTAAAAGGCAAACTAACGGGATCGGTTGTCAAATTCGCTGACTTGCTTGACACACGTCAGCGTATCCCAATTGTGTCGATCGATGCTCATGCTGTTGATCACTGGATCGACTGGTCCAGATTTCATTATTTACAGGCAGAAGTCATATACCTGGAATACTGTTTGGTGCAACCAACCAGCTAATAAATCATTCACAGCGTGCAGTTCTGAACTCCAGAATTCTTATGTCAACATTTGTATTCTGTCAGATGTCTGAGTCAAAGCACGCTTCATATCATTTTGAACCATTATTGAACAATGCCGATTTACCGTTCGCCATAAGAGCTCCGAAATGATACCAAAATATGTCTCCATATCGGGTCCGCATATCCGAAGGTCTGTCGTCTGTCCACGAACGGACTGGTGTCACTTCTTCCACGACGAAGAGGAAGACAGTGGAGAAGATGAGTGAGGCGAGGATACAAATGAGAACCTTGTAGCGGAACAGGAAGAGTAGGGTCAACCACCTGTTGGGATCTTGTTTGCCGAGAATAAGTGCCAAGTTGGTATAGAAATATGGCACTGTGAAATCGATGACTGTCGCTCTGCTGTGAGTCATAGTCAACGGTGCCACAACCATGTCAACATTCTGGAAATAGGTAAATATAAACTTTTAAACTTCGCTTATTGTGGCCGCCGTAGGTGTGCACATTTAAAGGAGGGCTGTGTTTCTGTCATATTGGCAGTCCTTGCACATTTCAGTTTGACAGTTGATACTTACATCTCCTATATCATATCATTAGAAGCGTTTTATAATATAAACTCATAAATATTCATCCTTCTAAAGCTTTGTACTGTCATGTTATGGATATAACGTGACTTGATGTTGCTTATCTGGCACCTCCTGTACACAGTGTACGATGTGAAATTTATTTTAATGGACCATTGAAAATCAAATAACACCATAGTGCATTTATTGACTTGTTTAAACAATTAAATACGATCTAAGTAATTTGTATTACGACTGATGTATACAAGTGTAGATATTCTGATTTTTTGTATGTTGACATCTTAAATGATCACTTCCTTCCAACGGCCTGAACACTGTATGAAGGTAATTGGGTTTTCCAGCATAATAACGACCCCAAACACAATGCGGTCTTCACAAAACAGTGGTTGTAAGACGAAAATGTTTAAGTTTTAGACTGGCTCAGTTACAGCCCAGATCTTAACACTACTGAGAATGTGAGGGGACTAATGAAGGACAGAATAAACCAAAAGGACTTGGAAATATTGAGGATGTGAAGAAAGAAGTGGTCACACGACTTCCTACAAACTTTGATTGGTAGTGTACTTTGATTGGCGCATTCATTCGTGTATTTCAGGGCAAGGAGGTCTCACAAAGTACTGAAAAGACACTTAAACATATCTCAACATATACATTTAAGTAAAACTTCTATAGTTTACAAACATGTATTAGATATTTGCTGAAACAACTCACTCAATAATTTCTGGTAATGCAATGTACTTTACTTTTTGATGTACACGGTGAAGAACACTAACTGATCATGTTTGACCTTACCATCTTACCAATCTGCTCTCGTGTTCTCTACCACAATGGAGGAACGGTGTAGAAACAATTCATGTCAGCACACTGAACAAACCCTTAATGTAACTGCATATTCTGACTGTAACATACCCCACTGACAAGTAACTTCACCAGCCCCGTCCAGCTGCCGTTCAGTATCCGACTCCACTCCCTGTCTTCGGGCTCCACCAGGGTGTAGCTAACAAATCCAGGGATAGTTGAGTCACAACAACATCAATAAGTATAAAGCTTTGTTTTTCTGACATGGTAGAGTTATTTTAGTGGAATTAATAATGTGATTTTTCAGAAAATATACCACATTTTATTATAGCACTAATATATAAACACTCACACACAAAAACACAAACGTACACGCACATACATATTGCACACTGAAACCTGAAATTGAGTTGTTTCGCCAGTTCCTGCAACAGCTGGATGCAAAGACCCTCGAACCTGACAGAACCGTTCTCCACCCTCTTGATCACAAATGGCGCCCACTGGGATAGGACAAAAAAGATGTTGTTTTGGCTGTTTCATGTTCTCCTTGTCTCCCAATGAACCTAAGCCATTTACTATTTCTTTTCCGTAACACATGTTGCCGACCATACGTTTCATGAATATAATGAATATATTTTGTCATTATCAAAAACAACTGATAAAAACAAGACAACAATCTTTATGCAAAAGCCTCACTTATCAATCTTCAGCGAGATATAAATTAGCTGCAAATTCATACCTATTAACTGCCCTGATTTTACTATCTAACATCCACTGTCTCGTAAAAATACATTCACTACTTCATAGTGTTATTTAGGATAGAGATTGTGGTGGAATAATTTAATGACTGTCAGAGGCAGAAAATTGCTGACGAGTTCATAATATATCGAGAGGATAGTGTATCATTACAAGAAAGTGTAAATGGCAAATATAAATCGTTGAATAATAATTCTCGATTACAGATTCCGATAAAACAGATTGCAGGTTAAAATACCAAATAACACAATAATAGTATTATAATATAATAATATGAATAGATGAATGAAACTCAGTGAATACACCATGCGTTCATGAATTCCATGACCCGCCAGCCGCCCAATTTAGTCAGTAGAGTAAACATTCCAGACTATCAAGTGTTTCAACAAGAAATCCAGCAGACAATGACCTACTTATTAAATTTGAGACTTTAGACCCAGCCTTCATTTGTCTTCACAGCGTTTCAGAATGGCCACAACAGCGTTTTAAATTTTACGAGCGCCTCAACCATTATGAAAACAGATTCTGTTAATATCACTGTCAACGTTTTCCATGTAAAAGCTGATTAAATTTAATGATCAATATGAAGCAGACATATCTGTTAAGAAAATAATATTTACATGTGGCATTCCACGGTCCATTTATAAAATGACAATAAGAATGTTCTGTGTTTCCGAATGTAAATGTGTATGTATTACCGGAAGTATTAATACTGGAGACCGTAAAAGTTGTACATTGTTCCCGGAAACAATAATAACATTTTGCAATGCTGTCAGACAAGCCAAACATCATGGAACTCCGCTCAGAACAGAGTTTCATGTGTTGCTCGTCAGCCAGATTAAAGGATAAACCGTTTTAAAAGCTCTAGTGTAATATGAAAATAACAGAAATTGACACACAAACAGACACACACACGCATGTATATATATGTATATAAGGCGAAGGACGGAATATTAATCATATTCTCTATATGATCCTAATAAGTAAGAGCAAAGTTAAACATATTGAAATGCAATTTAAACACCTCCAGAGTCCCGACAATTAACGTTCGGTTCTGAAATCCATATTCGCTGACATGGTAGAGCTGATGCTTGACTTCCAAAGAGTGGTCTCTCCCAATACTGCCAACGGTTTCAACATCTTTTCCTGTATGGCTTGGTCTGAGAACTTGAAGTTTGACTTGAATGGACGATTCGCTTATGGTTGCAGTCTGCAAAAGTACATAACGCCCATTTGTGTAGACGAGTGGGATTTGTACACCTTTGTCAGATATAACAAGTGTATCAAAACAGACATATTACAACTATTTTAGCTGACCAATGTGTGTTTATGACGGAGAATTGCAATACAATTGTTGGCAAACCAATGCTGTATGATACAGATAATCAGTTGTGTATTAAAGCATAAAACATACAATAGCATTGTTTTTCTTCCTTTTGTTTGCTAGTTAAGTGCCAGCACACGGTTCATTTACATGTATACATAGAATATCATAATCTAAAGATATTTTCATTTAGGATCAAACAAGATAAAATCTCTGAAAGAAGTTGCGATAAAATCACCCGAGTAGCATTCTTTCCTGGGCTCCTCTTAACGAATGGGCTTCTACAATGTAGTCATATAACACAACCACACTATCAAGCAAATGGGTCAGGCAATACCGTACGGTATTAGCTAACTGGCTGGGCACATATATGATTTTACAAAGTTCTCAGGTATTTGCTGAAGTTATTTACTCAAAACGAATTTGTAGTAGAGCATTTGGTCGATAGCCAGCGTAAACTGAGATTTAATCATTCTGAACAGTGTCACGGAACGAGACCAGTTGAACCCCATCAAGAGTTAGGTTTTGACTTTAGATATTGAAAACAGACCTTTTGTATCCATTCTGGACTATCAAGGACCTGCTCTGTCATATCATTCCTGGATAAGTTTGATAGCGTCTTCATGATAATCTCCAGGTTCTGTAAACATGACATAATCTCAAATGCATTATCAATGTAACTATAGATAATGTAATGATCCACAGATCCGTGCAGGTCCGGGTTAGAATGAACCTTCAGTAACCCATGCTTGTCGTAAGAGGCGACTAACGGGATCGGGTGGTCAGGCTCGCTGACTTGGTTGCCACAAGTCATCGGTTCCCAATTGCGCAGATCGATGCTCATGCTGTTGATCACTGGATTGTCTGGTTCAGACTCGATTATTTACAGACCGCCGCCATATAGCTGGAATATTGCTGAGTGTGGCGTAAAACTGAACTCACTCACTCACTAATGATCCACAGACCCACCATTGTTCTTTTGGCACGGGGTAAATTTTCCTCAAGGTTACAATGAAGCAACATCATTTCCTTGCAGTTTTATAGAGGCTTCCAGCCCTAATGGTTAGTCCTTTCCTGTATAAGATAAACGCAAGACCAATATGTGCTTACCAGTGGTGAAAAATACCTCGAACACGGCATGAACTCCAGAAAAACAACACCATCAGTTTTGAATGCCTCACGATTGCGTGCAATGTCCATGACACTTCCGGTTGTAGGAACCATTAGCCATTGAGAGACCCCATTTGAAGTCGTCACTGACATGTTTGATTCCAGCCAGTGAGCCTGACAATAAAATAGTCTGTACATCGTACATCCCGTTCTTTACTCATTATCTTTATGCGTCTACTTCCATCATCTTTTATCATTTTAACAAAAACATCATGCCATACAGCAGGGGCTTAGCTTCAACAATTGGCATTATAGGCATGTTTGCGGTTACCTATTATGTCAATATTTTCCCCAAGTGAAAACAACATGTTATTAGGAAATTAGAAACAGTTTGCACTAAGTGAAGTCAATGTTACGGTCACAGAAACCTTATGTCGTATTGTTATTGTATTATACACAGATGGAGCGGAAAATAATTTCATCTACAAAGCAACATTGCTGGTTTTTTTGTTTCAAACAAAACTGACATCGGAAGCACTACCTGAATGAGGAGTTTCTCTATACAGTCGGATGGACACATCACAAGAAAGTTGAGGTCCTCCTCTAGAAGCAGCTGGTAGATACTGGCTAGATCAATACTTTCAAGTGGAATGTTGGGATCATCTATCATATACAGCAGTAACTTGATCGAAGCCAGTCTGCCTCCAGGTAGTGCAGTCAAAACTGTAAATAGTGTTGTACGAGATATAACGTTATTCACTGATATCTCACTAATGTTCTGATTGGATGTTCACGTATTTAAACGAAGTTGGATATGTGGAAGTCATGAGACTATTATTTATCGGACCGTGCTATCTAATCGCCGTCATCAGGGTTTTGTATACCATGGAGTGCTCTATTGCCTACCTTGATAAGATGAAGTTATAACAACGAACGTCTTCCACTTCACGTGGTTGAGTATTGAGGTGATGCGTCTCATGACATCTTCCATGGAAACGGGTCTGATGAGGGCATCAAAGTAGGACTGCTTTGTACTTGTGACGTTGAACACTGACTTCATGTATATTGCATGGTTTGAGAGGAACATGGGGCAGATCACGGAACAGAGGCTGACGTTGAGGTCGTCCCTGTAGGAGGAGTGACTGAATTGACGCTGACAGGAAGAGAGCGATGCCAGGACCCCAATATCCCCATGCACCGATCTCACTGAAAGTTGAAACAGTATTGTTGGATGTTTGCCACAAGAAAGGATGTACAAATATAACTAGTATATAATTTCGAGACTTCTTTGATTCGTACATCATTGTAATCCCTAATGACTTAAGATCTTCTTTATATGTCTAATATTTACCTCTTGTACAATTCCGACCATATTATAAGCACGTGTCTGTTTGTTTGTGCTTAAAAGAAATAAACCTGGAATTATGAGTTCTGACCAAACGGGAGAAAATGACATGACTGTGAATGAGTGGGTGAGTGATTTACATTTATCGTCACATCGGCAATATTTCAGCCATATCGTGACGAGAATAATTAATTTTATACACAGTAAGTAATGGTAAATTGTAAAAACCTGTCAACTAAGGACAGTAAAATAACTCGATTATCACATATTCGAATTTAAGACTAGTAATTAAATCTAAAACAGGGTAACTATAGATGACAATACAAGGTAAAAACAGGCTATATACTGCCAACAACAGAAGGTAGATCACCATACTAGGGATCATGGGGACTTACAGTACATTTGCTTCCTGCATGGACCCCAGCTGGATTTACACCATCCCTTCAGCTATTAGCAATTTTAGATGAGCTAGCCACAAATTAAACGAACATATATTCTACGATTAAAATGGTAGTAGGTATAAATTTACTTTGAATGTTTTGGGACTTACGTACCCTCTCAGGAGGACAATGATTTTACAGTACTTTAACCCCCTTTGAGGGTACAGACACTCACAATCTAAGTTACTAATCTGAAGTACATATCATTAAAATACATCTATCTACAGAGCATATTAATCAAAATTCATTAATTAAATCAATTTCTTTTTAAAAAAACAAGAATTAAATGAAAATGAACAGTACTAAAAGATCCTTAACAGTTTTAACATTGAAATATTTATCCCTTATGACTGTGTCACGGATAAATTAGTAAATATAAAGTGTCAACACTTGAGAGTCTCCAGTTTCGATTTTCTGTTGAAATAGATTCCTTGGGCGAAACACTGAAAAAAGGATCAAAATGAAGTGAAAAATCACAAAATTAAGGTATAGCACAAGGTGTTCACGAATTAATGTGTCCTGGTTTTTCGGTAAAACGAATGGATCGTTCTCTCTGGTATTTGCCGTCGTGATGAAATTACTGTTTATTTAACAGATTAATAGTGTTCTGTAGTTTTCAGAATCCAGAAAAATAGAGTTGTTTGGCAACCAAGATGTTTTTTTCAGACTTTGGCGTTTATCAAATTGGGAACCCTACACGCACACAAGTTGCAAGAAGAAAATGTATGTTTTTGCCTGACGCCGCACAGCATCATGGTCTGTAAACCCGTAAACACAGTGAAATGAAAGTCCATTTGCTGATATTTATCAGAATCTTAATATTGATCTGTAAAATATATAACATCTGCCAGTTAATGGAATAATTACCTGTTCTCCACGCAGGAAATGGCTCCTCAGCAGAGACCAGCCAAGGGGTCACCATTAACTCATTGTAGACTGAGTCATTTCTGTGGCACACAACAGGATGTGGACATGTCTCATGTGTCTTGATGTTTAGCAAGATATCTGCTTAGAGAAGCATCTTATTACATGATTGAAACCGGTAGTCATTGATCATTTACTCGTTAAATCGTTTGATGTTGTTTTCTATTTTTCATAATGATGTACCTTCTTCAAATTTCATAACTTTGTAAAAATATAATTAACTCCAATATTCATCAATAGCTGAAGCATGGTATTCGTATATTAAAATACAAAGAAGGTTGTGACAATCCTGACACATACTGTGTTTGTACTAAAGCTGGATAGAAAGATCGATCGATAGATAGATAGGTTAAGGGAAGAACAAAGGTGGTCAGATCTATTACCTTCATTGTTCTTCATGTAAGGGTGGCATTATGCTGAATTTTCTACATTTTCTAGCAATATTTTTACTACATTTGTACTATGCCTGAAGTGTGTCATATTTGACATTCAGGGGTTTGCCTCTACCCTTAACATATTTGATAGCCAATAGTAACTAATATTCATGATGCCATTTAAGAACTGTGCTGTCATCTTTCACAATCAATTTCAACAATTGCAAATACACAATATGTGTGAATATATTTACTAATACAATATAATAGCATAATGATATGTGATTATAAAATATAACAGCCGAACTCACCCAGAGACAGAGTCCATACAGGCGAGGATGTGTAAATTATAAAGATGACCATCTGCATGGTACAAATTCCGTACATCATACGTCTGTTTCAGGGACTGTGTGTGTCTGGAAGAAGTCTGATGATGACTGTAGCATATGATATAGTACACGTGCCTAATCAACATCCAAGGTGAGGAGTGACGTGATCAATATTCAAATCCAGCTGTCTCTTCTGTTGCTATTATTGACCCTGTGTAGGAATATCAGAGCCGATTATAAAGCCTGTCAGTAAATACGCTATTCAAACAAGCAATATAGAGACCATGCCAATTCCACACACGTAGAAGCTTATACCTTATCTTGTTAAGTAACCTCAAACACACAGCCATTGTTTTTCATGAAAATCGATGTGCAGCTAATGCAAGCGTACTCTATAGTTCAGAGTGCCATAGCCGGTTATCTCACACGTAGAAAGAGTGCTAAGCCAATCAGCAAGTTGACGTTAACGTCTTTTGCGTGAATCGGTGTGTCCTTTAGTATACCAAGGAAGTGAACATTGCTGGCGTTGATCATCTCATTGTATCAGATATACTCGTGTCATCAGGTTGGGAAGATCACACAGACAAATCAACATGTTGAAGCTTAGATATTCATCGACACCATGCGACTTACTAAGTCAGTCAGTTTCAAAGAAAGTCAGACAACTCTTACTTAGAAGCTAGGTGTGAGTGAGTGAGTTTAGTTTTACGCCGCTTTTAGCAATATTCAAGCAATATCACGGTGGGGGGACACCAGAAATGGGCTTCAAACATTTTACCCATGTGGGGATTCGAACTCGGGTCTTCGGCGTAACGAGCCAACGCTTTAACCACTAGGCTACCCCGCTGCCCCCTAGAAGGTAGGAAGGTAGGAACATGCTAGGCCTCTGTAAAGATTTCAAAAGGGTTAACGGTAGATATTTGGAGAACATTTGATAATTTGACGATTTAGTGACGAAAATGAGTTTACATTTTGACTTGTACCATACGAGTGTCTATCAAAACGTTTTGAGCCTAAAATACTTCTGATACGTGCATGATAAAAATAACTATGATATTGAAAAATGATTTATATCATTCACTTAAACGTACTATTGACATGCACATGTCGCAAGTTTCCGGTCACGTGAAATCTAATCATATGTACACTTTTTGAAACGGCAGGAATAGATAAGCTTCAGTACAGAGCAGTCATAAGGTTTCGGTCCTCGAGGGCCACCCGGCGAAGCACATTGAAGAGCGATTGACAGCAGTATGCATCTACAGATAGTTCAGCTCGGTTGAACATGCGTTCGGATGTTTTGTTTCTGTTTCTCGTATGTTATTATTTGGCTTTACTAATGCAGTATAACACGTAATTTAAACACATATAGTTTGTAAGATACACTCGTTATTTCATTATCATTACCAATACTACCTTTTAAGATTGTGCTATGACTTTGTTATCATTCAGTTGGCAATAGTTCAATGTACTCTGATTAACAGACAGGGCCGTTGATAATGGAAAGGTATTGTTGCTATAATTTACTATCTCTTTAACTGTGTTTTATGGTACACAATGACGCTTCGTCTTCTCCTTCATAACATCAATCGCATGTAGTGACATTAGTCTTCCAGGGCATAGTGTCATGGTATCAAATATAGGTATTACTTGTCTTAACGTGAGACGCAATTGGTCCTAAAACTAATGTGGGAATGGAGCCCACGCCCTCGGCCTCAGGAAATAACATTATATATATATTACGTTCTGTCAGTTCCAGGAGTGTACGGAACCGACCTAGGGAGCACAACATACGACCCCGACGGCCAGCATACGACATTGCGCCAACATCACCGACAGGCATATTTCCTGGTGCTTCTACAGCATCTGCAGTACAAGAAACAAGATTGGGATGGTGTCTCTCTCATGTCTCATCGCCTGGTTGGACACAACCTGTTATTGTCAATGGCAATCTGACAGGTCTGTGATGCACGGACGGTATCATTGGGCCTCATATGCATCCGTTCATTCAAAGGCAGAGTTTTAAATTCACTCACTCGGTAAGAAAATGCCCGTCCACATGTCGCTCGTATTGTGACAGATTTCCTGAGACAGCTGATCTTTCCGGTATTCCCCTGGGCAGCTGTTTCTCCAGACCTGTCCCTTATCGACGTTTACCTCAAGCCCAGAATACGCCATCGACGTAAGCTGAATTGGGACATGCGTTGGTTCACACATGGAACAACATTCAAGCCTTATTCAATCGCTTAGTGTTGTCTATGCATAGTCGTTGTCAGAAGGTTAATGGTCACACCACTTATCTCACCGGGTACCCATATTTCTGCTGGGTGAACATAGGAAGTTTTTTAACAAACTCACTTGTGAGACCACATGTATCACATGTGCTTCGTTGTGTGGCCGGACGTAAGTCCTAGAAAGTCTGAGGAGTCAAGCTGCCAAACGCGGTCACCCTCCGAGAACGTTGCCTTACTTCGACTGATTTGTCCACCGCCATACTATAAAGACCTTTTTTGCATTAGAAAGAGGCGTAACATCAAACAATGCACAGTTACTTTATCCAGTATTATATAATGTGTATGTATTTGAACAGTGGGAAGAATCATCCATTGGAACAAGCAAATGCCTTTGGCGTGAGGAACATTAGTGACCATTTCCCCATTATAACGATTCCAACAGTACCATACACATACCCGACCTGTGACAAGATGAATAGCTCAGGATTTCTCAAGAAAAGAAATATGCTTGCGATCAGCAATTTGCTCTGTCAGCATGGCGATTCTACATCTTAACCAAATGGTAGGCGGTGAGTGAGACCAGTGTGTAAATATGAGAAAATGACTCTCGAATGTCTATGACTTTATTCGGATATTATAGCGTTACAGATGATAAGCTACAACACTGTCTTGGGTCAGGTGCTGGAAGGTATGTCTGGATGAGATAGTTCCTGCGATGAAGTATCAGATTTCATGGAGTGTTCTTCCACACACTCAGACTTTCTTTGCTGTTTTTGGTTACATCTCCGTTTATGAATTATTTCACAAACAAGGATTAGGAGTGATATGGCCACACCCACCCCTGCACCATAAAAGGCGCTCTGCAAGGTTAACAGGTCGACTCTCTTTGCTTTTCTGCTTGGAGATGGACACCGATGTTTGGGTTTCCATCGATCCCACCACAGACTCAGGATGCCGCTTTCGTATATTCTCAGTATTCTATAACAGAAATAAAACGTTTACACCAGAAGAAAGTTACATTATTCTCCGTCACATGCATTTGCAAACGACTTTCGAGCTTAATGTCATGGCATTTTTGGCAGTTTAATTCGACTACTATACTGAGTCAAAAAAGAAACTTCACATTCTTTCTTCAGGGCACTTTAAAAGAACAAGAGATGGTAAGATGGTGAAATTGTTCTCATTTCATTGCTGAGATCTGTGTGATGTACTCGATACACTGACAGTGCCATAATCAGTTCCATTAGGCTACATCGTCGTGCCAAAACATGGGTATACAGAATGTAAGTCACAAGAATAAAAATTCGAAATTTCTCAATTCAATATTGTGTATGGCCGCCCCGCGCATTCACCACTGCCAAACACCGTCTCCTCATCGACTGCCGGATGCTTGTGAACACGTGGTTGGGGATTCTGCGCCATTGCTCTTGCAAGGCAGCGCCAGGTTCCTGCAAATTCTGAGGTTGGTTCCTAAAACCACGAACCCTCCTCCCAAGTGCATCTCAAACGTGCTCTATTGGATTAAGGTCAGGGGACCTCGATGGCCAGTCCATGACGTTGATTCCAGCGTTTTGACGGAAATTTCGTGTCAACATCGCGGTATGCGGCCGAGCGTTATCATGCTGGAACTGTAGACCTGGGCCATGAGCCGCCATGAAAGGAACGAGTTCAGGGGTGAGCACCTGGTTGTGGTAATCAGCAGCTGTGAGGTTTCCACGGATGACCAGAAGTCGGGAACGTTTGTTCCCACAGAAAGCACCCCACACCATGCAACTTCCGCCCCCGAATCTGTCGACTTCCTGTACACAACATTGGGCATACCGTTCACGACGTCGTCTCCAGACTCTATGCCTGCCGACCGCGAATCTGAGGGTAAACCTGGATTCATCGCTAAAGACGACCCGATTCCAGTCTCTCTGGGTCCATCGGAGGTGACGTTGGGCCCACAGCAGACGTTGACGTTGATGATACGGCGCATCACGTTGCACATTTGACAATCGTGGCATTTAAAGTACCGTTAGAACTGTGGTTTAAAAGTGTTTTTTCAATTCTTGAGGCCAATGCAAACAAGTGCATATGAAGAAAACTTCGATGCGAAGATCCCGTGATCGGCTGCACTTGCAAAACCTGATTTGGCACTAACGTAATTTGCACGAGGAATGGATGGGATTGAGTGGGTTTTGCTAACGTTTTTCGAAAGATAGGGATCCCATTTCGGATACATAGATGTATCATCAGAGAAAAATTATTCATTATTTTCGAAATTACATTTTGTGAAGTTTCTTTTTTGACTCTGTTTATTTCGCTCAGAAAAGGAGGAACTACATTTTCGTATCAGTTTATTATATTTTCTATTTATATTCTATCTATACACACAGTTGTAATCTTTAACTGTCTTTAAATGAATGTATGCGCATTTATAAAAGGGATGGACCTGAGGCCACAGAAAACATCCGGTAGAAGAGTGAGTGAGTGAGTGAGTGAGTTAAGATTTTAAGTCACATCGGCAATATTTTTGCTATATCATGACTAAATTAAGTTATAGATTCATACTAATTAAAGTGAATTATAAAAAAGCTGTCAAGGAAGCATAGTAAAACAACTAGTTTATCACAGATATATACATTTAAAACTAGTAATTAACTCTTAAGCATTTTAACTACAAATGTCAAGACAATATAAAAACAGCCAACGACCGAAGGTAGGTCACCATACTAGGAACCATGGGAACTTACAGTACATTTGCTTCCTGCATGGACCCTAGCTGGATTTACACCATCCCTTCAGTTGTTAGCAATTTAGACACATCTAGCCAAACATAAAATCTACATATGTTCTACGATTAAAACAGAGGACAGTTTAAATCTACTTTGAAAGTTTTGGGACTTACGTATCCTCTACTTAAACCCCCTACAAGGATACCGCCACTAACAATCCCAGTGACTAATTTAAACTGCCAATAATTTTAAATACATCTTTTATACATAACAATCATTTTTCCAATTACTTATATTTATTTTTAAAAAGCAATAATTAAAAGATAATTAACATTAGTAAAAGGATCCTTCAATGTTTTGACATTAAAATACGTATCACTTGTGATGTAAAAATCAATAATCAAGCAAGATTCAGGTGGGAGACTTGCTGGAACAGCGGCTCATTCAATACCTACTTTGCCATCGGTAACATAGCATGGTAGATTGAGTACATTTAGTCATTGTAAACATGTCATATCTATGACTTGTCTTGATAAACATTTAAAACATTTTGGATCACAAATATGTTAAGGCAAACCATTTACCGTAACCAGATAAAAGTTCATTGAGCAAACTTCAGCTATATCAATAGCAAGTATCAAAGCATATGGTACTCACTGTTCGGAGAAGACTTGTGTGTATATACTGTGTTTTGGCAGACCAACTGCATATTTGCTGAATTGGAAGTTGTCATGTAACATCTGTAAATCACACCGACGTGGGTCGTCCCACATCTCCAAAGCGGACTCTTCTGCCATGTAGACGTACTGGCTTTCGACCGCTCGTCGCATGTGCTCGTCTTCATCCAGACTCAACCAATCAGGTTCGTTTGCCATTATCTCCTCCACACCATGCCATACCTTGTGATAGACGGAGATGTTGGATTCCTGAAAACATGGCAAAGTTTCACTTGTTATGTGGCATTGAATAACATTCTTTACATCTTGTCTGTATCTATCATATATGTCTATGCTGTATGTGGCAATTGATTGAAGCGTCTGTAGAATATTTCAAACTCCGTCTCTGCGCTTCACCGTTTCTCTGGCTTGAACTGAGTTACGTGCCTTCAGAGTCGAAACTGTGGAAGAGTCAGTCGCATGCTTATCCCAGACACATTAACAATCTTCTGTGCAGAGACTTCTGGATGTCTGCATCAACTTACAGCATGAGACGACGGTCATGAGATATATTTCTTCCTTCCGTCCGTTGCATCACAAATATATATGTATGGAATTGGCATATATAATTGTGCTAAATTACATTTGATGTAAAACCTTATTCAGACTTAGTTTTCATGTACTGACCTGAAAGAGAGTGACCAGTGCTGTCCCTCCCACAAATCCCCATTTGTACGTGTCCTGCTGCACCATCTCAGCCAGGCTAGAGAAGGGAGGTTTTTCTCGTCCGTCGGTGAGGAACGCTATGAGGTTACCACTGTAGGTGGCCGCCATTATTACCGTGAACAGCCACCAACAGCTGAGCACTGTGCGTCCGGACTCTGTTTTTGGAAGGTATGCTCCTCCTGGAATATAGGTTGACGGTTTGTTAAGCATGATCATATGTATAACGGTATCGGATTTCAGACACCACGCATTAGGGTCGTACCTGGAACGGGTAGACCAACGGTTTACATAGTCGGAATGTATTAACCCCGTCGGTACAAGATTTACGATGTGAACTTGACTCAATTTCCAAGTGATACACATAGTATTGTAAGTTCTTCAACACAAATGTCCCCAAAAGTATACACGAGGTTTATGGGCACAAACTCTTTTATACCGAAAGAGAAAATGCCTATGATGAACAATAACCAAATAATGTCGGTAAGCAAATGGAAGCGTGATGCAGTACAATCATTGCTGGTATGATATTAGTAAACAAACGACAGTTTAGAAAAGTTTGTTATTGAATACTGCCGATTTACCGTTCGCCATAAGAGCTCCGAAATGATACCAAAATATGTCTCCATATCGGGTCCGCATATCCGAAGGTCTTTCGTCCGTCCACGAATGGACTGGCGTGACTTCTTCTATAACGAAGAGGATGACAGTGGAGAAGATGAAGGATACGAAGATACAAACAAGAACCTCGTAACGGAACAGGGAGAGTAGGGTCAACCATTTGTTGGTGTTGGGATCTTGTTTCTTGAAGATAAGTGCTGAGTGGACGTAAAAGTATGGCACTGTGAAATCAATAACTGTGTTTCTGCTTTCGGTCACAGCCATCGGTGCCACAATCATATCAACGTCCTGGAAGTACAAAAAAAAACCTTTTGTTACTTCGTGATAACCGTTTTATCTAGTCCTAGCAGATCATTAAATCCGAGCAAGAGTAGTATGAGGCTCTTTGAAAGCATTCTCGATTGTACCTCGAAAGTTGTGACATGTAAACACCAAAGCCTAGAACTGTTGGAACATTGCTCGACATTAAAGGGAAGTTGACTACAGGAAAGTTGAACTAATCCATTGTGCCATAAAGCCGTGTGGGGACGAATTGGCCATTTGATGGATAATCTAGGTTAAACGTCTTGGCCAAATTACTTTTTATGATTTTGGCAACCCGAGCAGAAATTCTGATTCATGAGCATAAGGAAACATATCCACAAGAACGGACTGACTGACTGAGTTTGGTTTTACGACGCTTTTAGCAATATTCAAGCAACATCACGGCGGGGGGACACCAGAAATGGGCTTCACACATTGTACCCATGTGGGGATTCGAACCCGGGTCTTCGGCGTGACGAGCCAACGCTTTAACCACTAGGCTACCCCACCGCCCCCACAGGAACGGAAGTACAATAGGTGGCCATAGAGATAAATTCTTGTCTAAAAGTTTTACCCCCAAATTGAAGAAGTCCAATATTTCACTTACTGTTTTCTCTGTAAACTTCAAATGACATTTCGTTTTTGATAAGTGGCCCTTAACCTCTTTAACTAGATATGTAGGTATATCTTTGTTTACCACCTTTTAAATTACGTCTATGTAGATCATAGTAGAACAATGTACTGATGAACATTGCACAATAATTGATGACACCGAAATAGTGTGTTGGTTTAGCAGTTGTCTGTTACAGCTTATCGACTACTCCTTGAACTACAGGAAAACCAAGTTCTATGGATAGTCAACTTCTATATTGCAATGAGTGCGACGTTTCTGTGTAGGTACTAACACCGATATCAGGAAGATGACTATCCGTAGAACTTGATTTTCCTTCATCTTTACAGCTTCTAAAATGCCTCTCAAAAATGTTCTCTATAAACAGCTGGGAAATACGATGCTCGTCTGATTTCGTTTCCATTTTATCATCATAACAACACATAAGCGGTGATTCTGTGCATTGTAGTTGCAACATACCCCGTCAGTAAGTAACTTCACCAGCCCCGTCCAACTGCCATTCAGGATCCGACTCCACTCCTTGTCCTCTGGCTCAACCAGGACATAGCTAACAAACACAAGGATAGTTCAGTCAAACGGGTAATCGTAAAACCTTGGTTTCATTTGGCATGGTGGAAATTAATTGACAACGTCGTTATGGTACAAACACCCAAATATAGAATAATAAACACTGAAACCTGAAATTGAGTTGTTTCGCCAGTACCTGCAAAAGCTGGATGCAAAGACCGTCAAACTTCACAGAACCCTTCTCCACTCTCCTGATCACAAATGGCACAGAGAGAGAGAGAGAGAGAGAGAGAGAGAGAGAGAGAGAGAGAGAGAGAGAGAGAGAGAGAGAGAGAGAGAGAGAGAGAGAGAGAGAGAGAGAGAGAGAGAGAGAGAGAGAGAGAGAGAGAGAGAGAGAGAGAGAGAGTTCAGTACTTTGTTAGAGCACTATTTTCTAAAATCTATAAAAAGCAGATGGATACGTCATATGTCATATATATTGATATATATTTAAATAGGCATTAAACCTGCCTGAAATTGAGTTGTGTCGCCAGTTCCTTCAAAAGCTGGATACAAAGACCATCGAACCAAACAGAACCATTCTTCACATTCCTGATCACATATGGCGCCCACTGTATCAAGATAAAAAAGTGTTACTAACATAACAAGCAATATTAATATGATGCTGATCGGGTGTGTTTCATCTTATCATTAACAGTTTTTGCTATAAACAAAAACAGTTGAGAAGAACTGAAATTAGAATCTTTGACCTGTTCTTTGTAATGGAAACCTTTGGGGTGACTATTCATAAGAATATGAATTCACTCGATTACATTCTGCCCTGCTTTCACTATATGGCAATCAGTGGCCGCGGATACATAACTAGAATCAAACCTTACAGGATCCACGCCTTTACATATGATCTTCAACTGAAGTGAGTTTGAACGTGCCTTCACAAGCTCCATCAGGAAAATTTACATCATGTCATAGAAATATCTACATGCATCTATCTTTGCTGTTGCAGTACAATCTACCTTGGAATACAGCCAAACTCTTTCCTTTTTATATAAGAAACACGTAATAGACACGAAGAGGACGTCTTAAGAGCTGAGGCTCTGACATCCACAGTTCACAGTTAATTTGATCCCTTTTGTGTTTCCAGATTCCTGAATACTTTCTCAGCGATTTGTCAGGTGCACTTTAAAACATATAGTTGGGAACTTGTAGGTATAAACATGTCCATGGTGTACATTGCATGGATAGAAAGTCAACGATGCACGCACCGTACTAAAGTAAACTCACAGAAGCAGGTGTCTGGGCATTTAAAACATGTCGGAGGCTGTTATTACAATATGTCAAAAACAAAATTTAAGAACGCGAGAACGATCGATAGTCTGCAAGGAGACCATACAAGTCATCAGTCATTTGTAGTGAGGAAGTCGGTATTTAGTTCTGTTTGTATATCAACTCACTTAGTCCCGTGTATGAATTGCTGTGCGTCCACTGCACTAAAACGAAAGTGCAAAAGAATACACTATGTTGACTATCCTCAGAAACGTATTCCGTTTGGTGTAAAGGGAAACATTACTGTGAAAACTAGGTATATGGATCACTGAGAATCAGTGAAAACACCGGGTGTTTCCGAAAAGGGTATGCATGACCTGCCCTACAGGGAGCACCTGCGATTTACACAATTTGCCTATAACTGGAAGTAGTCTTTTCCCGACGCCCCACAACAGTGTTCCTGCCATGCGAGGGTGATTTTTAAGCAAACCAGACAGTCAATGGACAGGAAACTACAGTTTGAATTACTACTGATGTGTAAAGTACAGAGATTTCGAGGCTTGTAAGGGAAGAAAAACGTTTGGTAAATAGATTTAGTTTTAATGTCTCGGATGAAACATTTCATTGTGGCGACTCAGCATACTTAAATATCTACTGAACGTATGACAAATGTCGGGGAATTCGGTCCACCAGCTGAATTAAATATAGGGGAGTCAGCCCAAAAGAATATCCTCGACTGTCCCCTTTACCCCACATTATTTGCAAGTTGGTGACAAGGTGGAGAAAAATTACATGTCTGTTTGTCATTAAATCAAATACTGCCAAACAGAATGTCATTGTATGTTAGGTGAACGTCATAAACTCATCGATACTGTCAATATGATCTAAAATACACCCTCTACACATGAAGTATATTTGACCTCAAGCGTCCCGACAATTAACGTCCTGTTGTGAAATCCATATTTCCTGCCATGATAGAGTTGATGCTTGATTTCCACATCGCCATCACTCCCAATATAGCCTACGGTGTCAACTTTTGTACCAGTGGGATCTGTGCTCAAAACTTCAATTTTGACTGCTGCCTGCAAAAGATGATTGTGCTCATTTGATTTTATAGCATGATCAGATATCACTGTTGTATTACGTAAGCAGTAGGGTTTTACACCGTAGTCAGACAACTGTATTGTTATTAAACGGGACGTACCCTATGCCTAACCAAATGGGATTAGATCAGATTGAAATATGAAAATATGAACATTGTCGTAAGAATATCCGGACGATATCCAACCAAAAGGTTACATTTTTTCCAAACGATTTCAATAATCATAATGCTAAAACAAATTAACAGCATAAAAGTTCACACTTCTTATGGGTAAAACAATACAATACTCAGTAAATTTATTTCGACCTCATCGTGTCCATTGAGTAAATCAAAGTATTAGGCCACATTGTTGTAAGAGTAAAGTTTATGTCATCGAGTGAGAATAGATTAACGTTTCATTATATTCTTTGTAGAAAAATGAACGGTTTGTTTAATGAAATTAATCCGCATTGCAAACATACAGAGGTTAAAGTCCAACCGAACATGGATTTGATAAAGTTTCTTGAACTTACCTGACATTTATTGAAGCTGGAAAGCATTTCATATGAGAAATATGTGCAAAAGGCAAAATTGATGCGAGGTGTTTTCAATAATCAAATACTGTAAGTAAGTGCCCTGCATTATGAATGAAACAACGTTTCTGTCATGTAAGAATGCATTACATTTTGTTTGATTTGTACAAATAAGTCCAAGGGGCACACCTCAGCTTCTTATACTGACTGAGTTTGGTTTTACGCCGCTTTTAGCAATATTCCAGCAACATCACGGCGGCAGCTTCTTATAAGAGTAAAGTTCATGGAAAATGTCCTACATTATGTCTTTTAGTGAAAGGTGCTCGGTAAACATATTAAATGCGTTTTTAACTCGCGAGGTAAATATACTACTGAATGATTTGATATCTGGCAAAATGACAGACAGACAAACAGTTTTATTTAATATAAAGGCCTTTGGCCCAAAATACAAATCATTTGTCATGAAATAATTAAAGCGCACATAAGATATGTAATCAATGAATATAGGATTTCCTGAGTTTGCTGGCACATTTAAAAATGTCTTAAAGGACCAGAATTGGAAAAAATAGGTTTTTTAGCTAAATTAGTTTTCATACCAGTATGTTTACAAAACAAGACTAGGGCATTTAACCTCTTGTGTAATAGGAGTGCAGTGTCAACACTTCCAGACACATCATCTGCAAACATTAATGCATAAAGATTATCTACATTAGTAGCGATATTTCCGCCATTTCCACCAAATGTTTCAAAAACTGAGAAGACTTTGTTTTATATGAAAATAATGAATAACTTGGGGGCTTAATATACAGCCTTGTCGGGTGCCTTGTTTACACTTACAACTGTTAGTGAGACCACTGGGTGTTTTAACACAAGCTGAGAGCTTAGAATACATCGACAACAAAGTATTATAAAACTTGCCATTTATCCCAACATCTTTCAAACAGTCAAATAAAACTTTATGGTTGAATGT